CTTTCTTCTAATATTCAACATTTTCAGATTATATTGCACACGTTTATATCGTGCATAACCTAACGCGACTGTCTCATTTATTTTGACTATCTCAAACATTTCCGATTTAGTTTACGGTGCAAAAGAAATTTTTAAAAAAATTTATATAGTATATTCCAGATAATCCGATCAGAGAGAAATTTCAGTCAGTGTCATTTTAAAATAAATTAAATCGTGATGGAACTCAGCATCTCAATTAAATAAAACAATAATAAATCAATCTGTTCTATATCCCGTTGGCAGTTATTGCAATACCGTAATTAAGTTAGAAACTTCATTTCAAAAGGCGTAAAATTTTATGATAATTCCATCTAATTATAATAGACTTAATCTATTGAATCGATCTCATGAGATGATTTGATGTTCATCAAATGTTAAATGTTGCATTCAGTTTTGTTTTATGGAACTAATCACACGAACGGCTAACTGTCGTTCATTTTAACACTAGAATTATCGAGCATCTATTAAAGCTGATATATAATCATAAAGATTGTAAGAAGACATTTATATTAGTATTAATAATTGCAAGTATTAATAATTGCAAAATAAGAAAACTATTTACTAAAACATTTTTTTACAATTTCTTCAGGTATTCGTTATAGTATTCAGATGAAACTGTTTATATTACGGATATTTAATTCCTTTAAAATATTAATAATCGCAAAATAAGGAAATTAAAACCCGCCACTTTAACAAAGTTCTAGTTCTAGTGTTAATGGAATAAAGATTAATATTCATGCATACTGACGTAAAGAAATTACGGACAAACTAATGCTCCTGTAACTACAGTTAATAATGTTCATGAAAATTGACGTTAGTTGTCCCACTGCTTACGTAATTATGGCCTAAAAGAGACAAATTTTATAACTATAACCCTTTTGTCAAGGTCATATGTTTTGGCGATTTTAAAATCATTCGTCTTAGTTTTTACTCTTTAATAGAACCGAACAGCTTTTATTTTATTAGTTACTACAACTCAGTCCGAGTTTTCGAGATATATGCAAAAATATTTTTAACGCTATGTATTTACTAAAGTATTTAATATTATTCTGTTTTTCTGAGGATTATGTTAAGTTTGACTCTTATTTATATTTGATAATAACTAATTATCAAAGTTTGTTAGAACCGAGTTGGTTATACCTTATTTAAACATGGTCTACAAAATCCAGTATATAACACTGAACATTGTACATACATATATGTACTTTTTTGTATTACCTTGAATAAATATATGTATGTGTGTATGTATGTATATATGTATGTATTGACGAGTAGGGCATGCTTCTAAAAAATTCAACAATCTTTTTGTGAATATTTATATTTTTTATTTAGTAATATTTGGTAATGATTGCTACCTAATATTTGCAAATATTAAGGTTGAACTACTGTAATATGTCCTATGAACAAAAATTGTGCAACTGCAAGGATGATTCAGTACGTTAACATAAGAAATAAAGTTCTTCTCCTTCCTTCTCCCCTCAAAGAACCGCCCCTATTAACCCTTTGAGTGCCAAGAATCGACATATCGCTCCTTCATGCAGTTGCGAAAAGTTTCTTTTTGATCTTATCTGTGATAAAGAAAGTCTAACATGTTTTTAGTATTGTGTGAAAATTTTATAAACTTTAGATCAAAACTGACCGAAATATCAATTTTTATTTAGAATTGTCTGGCATTTCTTGAATATGTATGAACATTTCCTCCGGCACTCAAAAGGTTAATACCAATCCTTATTATTTCAATGAATCTCATTTTCAAAATCAAAATCATTCCATGACTAAGTGACCACCAAACTGACAAACATGCAGCTCTGCTTGTGGCTGTATCGCAGACACGCTCATACTTATAGTAGTAGCAAAAGTTCTTCGCGATTATCTGAGAACTAAAAGAGAGTGGCGTTTTTGACAAAAGAAGAAGTTGTTGAAGGTATTGATTTTTACAGGGTACATCAATTTTGTGAGTATCGGTGTTGACGTCATGGTATGTGCTTCCAACAGTTCCCCCGCTACATCCATGGGGAAAAAATATCAGATAAACGACCACACCATATCGACTCGCAAGTTACCTTGGATGTGCACATATAGGCAAAGTCTAATGTATTAGGAGTACCTATAAGTAATGTCGTACAGCCTAACGTATTAACAAGTGTTAACAAGCTGCTTCAGTTTGCTGGCCGATTGAATATCATTTAAAAAGAATGTGTTCACATGAAGTGATAAAGGAACATATCCGACATTGCATGCTTTAGGAATTTCGTAAAGGAAACAATACTATCGTCACAACAATCAATATTAATAGTGTTTATCCCGAAGTTTTAAGTGTCCGGAAATGTTGATGACGGTTCACAAAACTTCAGAACGGAGACTTTCGTCTGCAAAGCGATGAGAAATCACGAAGTCCGTCTCTTCTTAAAGATGACGAATTGAGGGCTGTAGTTGAAAAATATCTGAGTTTGACAGTTGGAAATATTGCAGAAATGCTTAGTGTATTGTAGTATACAGATCAAAGATACCTTTACAAGATTGGAAAAGTGTGGTGATGCGGAAGATGGGTCCCACATACCCTTAGTGCAGACAATCGAGTAACGATAGTTGCTGTATGCAATTCACTACTCGTTAGACACAAATCAGAGCTCTTTTTGGATCGTTTAGTTGCAGGGGACGAAAAATGGGTTACGTATGATAATCCAAAGCGGAAACCATAATGATTATCTCCAAGTGATACACCGATGGCAACTCCAAACCGAATATTCATGCGAGTAAAGCGTTGTTGTGTGTATGGTTGAATTTGTAGGAAGTTATTCATTTTAAACCTTTAACCCCTTGGCCTATGATTTCTTTCTCAACTCTGATCGATACGGTTACATTTTCATTAATAATTTACTGGAAAAAGAGAAAAATTCTAAGCATATGTTATGCCTATATTTCCTTTCAAGCATAATAACTATTATGATTACAGAGGAATAATGTTTACTTTGAATTCGAATGTACTGAGTAATACATATATTTGTTGAATCATGTTGAAAATCTTCACTACGAGTCTCACTCGTTGTTGTAGGGCAAGGAGTTAAAGTCCAGAAATCCTATTACTGTTAGCCTTTATTGAGAACAATTAATACTCTTAAGCAGCGTAATTGCAAAAGAATATCCTGTTTTGATTAACCTATTTGCATCATTAGCGCATGTATGCGCGGATTTTGCCTGATCTATATCACCGGAGCGCATATATGCGCGCCAACATTTTTCAATATTCATTAAAACAATGAATTCTTCGTTTACACCACTTTGTTTTAAATGTTCTATACGTTTTGAACCATTTTTATTTTGATGCAATAAAAGACATTTTTAGTGATAAGGACCAATTTTCCGTTTTTCCGTATGGTGCAAACGAGTTTACAATGCAAGGCTGCTCATTGTAAAAGTCACACAACAAAAATCATAGAACTTGACTGGGAGACTTTGGTACGTCCGCCGTACTCTCCTGTCTTAGCCCCATCCGATTTTCATTTATTTAGATCTCTACAACATTCTTTTAAATACTAAAAAATGTTCTAATTACGAAAATGTCAAAAACGGAATACAAATATATTTAAACGAAAAATCAAAGGATTACAATAAAAGGAGCATACAAAAGCTCGTTTCCAGATGGTAAAATATTGTAGTCAATTACAGTGATTATCCTATGGACTGAATGTTTCATGTGAGATTTAAAAAATTGAAATAAATTTTAATTTTAAAACACGATATCACTTATGGGTATTCCTAATATTAGTATCGGCAACTTTTTTGCAATTATCTTGAAAGCTATGACTGAACGAGGGTTATATATATAAAGTAGTTCAAAATGTTGATTTCTATAACATATTCAAAAATTATCAAATTCGGTGAGAAGACTTTTAATCCAAAGGTTTGTCAAATATGTAGTTGATAATCGTAAATCGTTCTCTTGAAAGGTATTATAGGAACCATTCGTGAGTATTGTTAATGTTCGTAAAATCATTTAATAGTCGTTTTTTAGTTGTGAAACAATTACAAATCCCAATTGTTTTAACGATGTTTCAGGTTATATTTAATAAAACCTTCTATGCGTGACATAGTCGAACAGTAATTGATACATTATACCGTTACAAACGATACTTGAAGATGTTGTCCGATAACGCGCTTCTTCGCAAAATGAAACATGTGATCATTAAAATACGTGTTAACGATAAAAGGGGGGAGAGCAACGCACGCGACTGGTGTGTCTTGCGGCATCTGACTGGATCAACCGGTACTCGCAAGATATGCGCCATTTCTATTATAACGGTCTGTGAATGTAGGAAAGAAGAAGAATTCGCGCGAGCATCGCGCCAACCGTTACCTCTTTGACAGCGAAACGATACTTTCAAGCTCCGCTGTGGTACGCCTTGTGCACGTGCACCTTGCGTTAGCAACCATGTATTTATCCAATATACATGAACCCACTTTCGTTGAAACAGAGGTAAAAGACAAAGGTGCACGGCAATCAATAGCAGACGAAATCTATCTTTTGTGTTTAAATGAACCCCTTAACTGCGGAATTGTTTCCCGAGATTTTTGCAATTTAACAGTAAAACTACCGAGCAGGTAAATTTGCTTTTTGAAGTTTCTCTGTAGAAACTCCAGCAGTGCATCTATTGAGTCTTTAATTGATTTCCAATTCAAAGAAATATCTGTTATTTTTTAAATAATTGCAAAAAGAAGACACAAGGAATGGATAATTTTGACCCGTTTGGTAGTTTTAGTGTCAATAATACTTGATCATACGTATAGACAAACTGGCTAACTGACCATATACCCGAACATTACTGTAACATACTTTATTACATATTAATTGATAATCTGTCGATTTCGTAATATCTCATATTTTTTCCATAATCACAATATACGGTTACTTGTTTAAAGTTACTTTTCAATTAAAATAAAAATACTTCATGGTAGCTTACCTCTGGCACTGTAGTTTCATATGGTGTGTTGATGAATATTGGTGCATTATCGTTTATATCTGATACTCGGACAATCACTGGTATTGTCCGCTTCTTGTTAGTCTGCTTCACGGTACAACTTAGCTAGAAATAAAAATGAAAATTTGCACATTAGTACACAAAAAAATCAAACAATGAAGTGTGTACTGATTAAACACAGCTCAAATGCATCTATAATATATTCTAACGAAAAATTAAAGCAAAACGAAGAAGACTTACATGTTTATCTGAAAAAGTAAAGAATTCATCGTTGAAAGATTTAATATCATTTTGACTTTTAAGGTGACGTATATAGTCGAGCGCAGTTAACTGGTTAAACGTAAAAGAGACTTTAGTACGTAATTTAGAAGTTAAAATAACCATTGATAAATTTGTGTATAAATAATATAGTGAACTGTTCTGTAAAAAAGAACGGAGCAAGAACACCTTACTGAAGCAACACATTTCAGAATCAAGGTTTCAATGTACTTCTAACTTCGACAACATATTACAACATATCTAGTGGAAAGGAGTGTCTGATTGAAATTTTAAGATAATCTAATTTGAATACGTATCGATTGCATGTGCTACTTAATGAAGGTGATCCACAGTTTACCTTCATACACCATACTTTACATTCGTGTAAGAATTTGGTGTCCATAGTATGTAGAATAAGGTTGCTTAAGTCGTACCCCATAAGAAAAAGAGCGTATAAATTGTAATATATATTAAATAAACAAAAAATAATTGCTTTCTTCAAAACTTTATTACTAATGCTATTACTATTAAAAATAGAATCGGCAATAGAATCTATGGATTCGACTGGATAAAATTACAATCAATTAACAAAAAACACGGATCTTAATCTCCATGACAATATTCATAACAAATGTTAATATAGTTGCTCATTACGTCCCGATCTATTGTACCAAACAGATGTGTTTAGTTATTGTCTTAGTCAAATAAAAACTGACTCATTACTAATCTATTAAAATCGGTACGACTATAGACCTGGTCTCCTCATAGTTTAAGTTGCACTTACGAACAAAATTGAAGGAAAACTATTACTGTCGCATACCCGTGTCGCGTTGCAAAAATATTTTTTCGTTTTTTTTTTATAACTTTTGCACATAAATCGAGAA